AATAAGAAACATTAGGGTAATGCATAATTTGCTTTTTTGAGCAGCATATGCATATTATGTTAGATCTTGTTAAAAATGTAGCTATACCCAGCACTGTGAAAATAGGCTTAGTTGGTACCAACTACAGATGGGCAATTTTGGATTTCGAATCTTAATGATTACCTGTACCTGCTTGCCGAATTTCACTGATTTAATTGTTACCATTTCATTTGATGTACCTCTTTAGTAGTATCAGTATCATGCTATTTCGTGTGGTAAATTAATTATCTCATTTGAGTGTTGTTTTGAACTTTTTTGTTTCAAATTTAGCACCTACTCTGGTAATACAAACTTCAATGAATCATACAAGTTGGAATGTATTGGTGGTAGCTTTGTAAATCAGAAATCCCCAAATGCAAACAAATAAACTTGAATTCATATTACAGAAAAACTCTTGTTCATGCATGAGCAATAAAACAGGGAAAATGTTTGATCATCTGTGCCTTTGTGGTGATACATAATGTGTTTTCATTTTGCATTGATCCGAGCTCCTTTTTTGATGCTTCTAAGAAAAGTGTTCATTCTTTCATGATATCAGTAATTACTTATGACATCAAATTCATATTCCAAATTTCCTGTGGATCTTTTGTGAGCTTCCACCACTTTGCTTTATGCATTTAAAATATAATCAAATATGTAAAGTATTGATGACTTGTTTACATTAGATTGCGATTGCCGATTATTTTATCTTAGTATGACTTTGCCACTGAATAGGGATGTTTGTGAAGTGGTTGTGAATAAGAGTGTAAGGTTATCGATGAAATCTTGTTGAAATTATAAAACAATTTTTGAATTTTATGCCTTCTTTGATCATCTATGGTTGTAAAATTGGTGAATATTAAGATAACTGAATTGTTTTTTAATTGTATTGTCTGTACAGGAAATAAAATTTAAGACATTGTTACCCAATCGGCCTGGTCTTTTGTTTTTTCGTCACTTTCTTGATTGAAACAATGAAAGTGCATGCGGACTTTCATAAAAAGAACCACTGCTAAACAATACACATTGCTGCGATTTATGCGCGAACATAGTTTTGTTAATTGAGAACTAAACACGCTTGGCTGCTATGCAATGATGACTTGTCACACGTGCGCCAAGCTGGAGAAGTGGGACAAGCGGTACACATGGGGAACGTTGGGCAAGCAGGGAATGCGGGACACATGGGAACGTTGGACAAGTGGGATACAACATTTTTGAGACACCCACACTATTAAACAAAAAAGGAGCTACGATTCCCCACTCCACTCAAATGACAACGAAGAAAACAAACTGAATCACAGAAACTATATTTTTCTTCCTCGTCAGCTAACACATTCTACGGTTAGAATTGTTGAATGCCTTTAATTGAAAATTTGTAAAGACTCAGTTTATCTCTTTATACAAAAGTCATATCATAAAAGTTAACCCATCCAGGAAAAAATATACATGGAATATATATCGAAAGTAGAGGAGAAAGGCCACCTGTTCCATGTTGCACGCTGCAATAGTAAGGAGACCAGCAAGCTTCTCGTAATGAATATGCCCTACGGGATTCGAACACGTACATCTGATTAGATGGCAAACCTTTTTCTAACGATTAATACGTTGCGCCAACGATGGGACCGCAATTTGGGTATCTAAACCTAGTTTGAGTATGAAGGAGAACGGGATAATGGAATTTCGGTGTCACTGTGACTCATATATATATATATTTATCCATTTCACTGTTGTTCATAAAATTTTTACGATAACTATGATGCGACTTGTAACTCGAAACATTAGTGCACTCGGGTAAGCAACAATCTGACTTGGGGCTCGATGCCCACAATTTGCTAGGCTCGTGACTGAACTTGACTCAGAGTTCAGGGATCAACCAGAGGAGAAAGGTAAGGGGAAAGCATTCGTTTTTTAAAGTGACATATGTTACGCCACGTAAGCTTTGGGGAATAGTGTTCCAAATTACGGAGCCTTTAAATTTCAAGAAAGTTTGGAATTTGTTCAGTGAAAAACAAGACACAAATAAATTGAACTCTAACGAAAAGCGAGTGTTTACCCATGCATGAAACTAAGCGAAAGCTCCTGGTACAAGACTGTTTTAGACCTTAGTCTAATGGTATATAGCAGAAGTGTGCAAACCGCGGGCCAAATCGGCCCGCACGGAGAAATTGCGCCGCCCGTCGGGAAGTGCCAATTTTGAATGATGTGCGGCCCGTCAAAATTGAATTTAATTTGGTATCTGAGAGTGTTTCCAATCCCTGGGTCGCCCCCATCCCCCCAATAATTCTTTCTAAAGCTAAATGGATGTTGTTTTTAACTAACAAAATTATCATTATGTCTCAAGGTGCGATGGTGGCAACTCGCAACGGGAACAAATTATTAATATGTTTCTATTTGATAACTATTTTTTTACAATAATGTACTCGAGAGCGTTATCTGGGCACCTTACATTTTTGCATAAAAATACGCGCGGTCGAACGAGTAATACGTGGTCTTCAAACGCACCGCCATCCTGCGCTTCCGTATAGCCCGTTCCTCCAACGTTACAACCTCATTATTATCATATGTTGCGAAGGAATGAATATTTTTATGTTTCTCCCGTTGCCAAATTCAATACTGTTATTGTCGAAAGGGGGTGACAAAATACATTTCCTTACAACAATTAACTATAATCTCTGAACAAACTATATAGGTTTAAGTTGTTATAAACAATTTTCACCGCTTGGCGTATCTTTTTTTGTT